TAAATAAAAAGCAGGAGTTGCAATTCTCACATCTGATAAAATAGGTTTTAAAGCAACGAAGATATAGTGGTAAAAGGATCAATGCAATAATAAGAGTTAACGATCCTAACACCCAGATACATAAGACCCATAAAGAGATTTAGACTCAACAAGACAGAAAATTAATAAGGATATCCAGGACTTGAACTCAGATCTGGAACAAGTAAACTTAATAAATATTTATAGAGCTCTTCACTTTAAATACACAAAATATACATTCTCCACTTTAAATACACAAAATACTGATCGGCCATTATTAATACCCATTTTTAGAATAAAGCAATATTCCCGTTCTTTCTCACTCCTTTTTTTTTTTAACTTTCTTTCCTTCTCTCCTTTTAAAAAAAATTCAATTATTGAAGAGCAGGACTCAAGTATAGGAATTTAGTGGACTAATTGCCTTCTGCATTACTCAATATCTGCTGGTCCTAAGGTCAAAATTTTTTTTAAAAGGCTCACAAGTCGCAGTATGTTCCCCATATCCATTTACTTAGCAAAATAAATAAATAAATAAAGCTATTATTGCTCACTCAGCTGAGGATTTTTTTTTTTTACTTTTCTTTTTAGTAACTTTTTTGGAGGGATTCAGGGGGTACATGTGCAGGGTTGTTACATGGGTATATTATGTGATGCTGAGGTTTGGGATACAGATGGTCCCATTAACCAGGCGGTGAGCATAGTACCCAACAGATAGTTTTTCAGCTGATACACCCCTACCTAGTAGTCCTCAGTGCCTATTGTTCTAATCTTTATGTGGATTCAACATTTAGCTTCCACTTATAAATGACAACATGTGGTATTTGGTTCTCTTGTCTGTTCTTGTGTTACTTTGCTTAGGATAATGGCCTTCAGCTGCATCCATGTTGCTGCAAAGGACATAATTTTCTTCTTTTTATGGCTGTGTAGTATTCCATGGTGAACATGTGTTCTTTTACATGGCTGCATAGCATTCTATGGTGTACAACTTTTTTCTCCAATTCATTACTGATGGGCACCTAGGTTGATTCCATATCTTTGCTATTGTGAGCAGTGTTGTCATGAATATACGGCTGCACGTGTCTTTTTGATAGAGTGAATAATTTTCCTTTGGGAATATACCCAATAGTGTCATTGCTAGGTTGAATCATAGTTCTGTTTTAAGTTCTTTGAGGAATCTCCAAACTGCTTTATACAGTGACTGAACTGGTTTGCATTCTCACCAAAAGCATTCTCTTTTCTGTGCAGTCTTGCTAGCATCTATTATTATTTTTCTTTTTACTAATAGCCATTCTGACTGGTGTGAGATAGTATCTCATTGTGGTTTACATTTCTCTGATTACTAGTTATGTTGAGCATTTTCTCATATGTTTATTGGCTGATTGTACATCTTCTTTTGAGAAGTGTCTGTTCATGTCCTTTGCCTATTTTTAAATTGGATGATTTATTTTTTGCTTCTTGGTTTAAGTTCCTTGTAGATTCTAGATATTAGATCTTTGTCATATGCATAGTCTGCAAATATTTTCTCCCATTCTATAGGCTGTCTGTTAACTTTCTTGTTTTTGTTTGTTTGTTTGTTTGCTATGAAGGACTCTTTAGTCTAATTAGGTCCCTCTTGTCAATTTTTGTTTTTGTTGAAGTTGCTTTCGGGGACTTAGTCATACATTTTTTTTGCCAAAGCCCATGACAAGAAGGGTATTTCCTAGGTTGTCTTCCAGAATTTTTACAGGTTGAGGTCTTACATTTCAATCCTTAATCCATCTTGAGTTAAGTTTTGTATATGGTGAGGGGCAGGGGTCAGGTTCATTCTGCATATGGCTACCCAGTTGTCCCAGCACTAAGTATTAAAAGGGAGTCCTTTCTCCATCGCTTATTTTTGTCAATTTTATTTTGTCAAAGATCAGATGATTTCACAAGTGTGGGTTTATTTCTTGGTCTTATTCTGTTCCATTGGTCTATTTGTCTGTTTTTGTACCAGTGTCATGCTGTTTTGGTTAATGAAGCCTTATAGTATAGTTTTAAGTTGGCTAATGTGATGACTCTAGCTTTGTTCTTCTTGCTTAGGGTTGCTTTGGCTATTCGGGTTTTTTTAGTTTCATATTAATTTTAAAATAGATTTTTAAAATTCTGTAAACAATAGGGTTAGTAGTTTGATAGGAGTATCATTTAATCTATAGATTGCTTTGGAGAGTATAGCCGTTTAATGATACTGAATCTTTAAATCCATGAGTATGGAATTTTTTCCATTTTTTTTGTGTCATCTCTGATTTCTTTCAGCAGTGTTTTGTAGTTATTCTTATGGAGACCTTTAATCTCCTTGGTTAGATGTATTTCTACATATGTGGGGGGGGCAGGTGGTGGGTGTGTGGGGGTGTGGGGGTGGCTATTGCAGGTGGGATTGTGTTCTTAATTTGTTTTTCAACTAGAATATTATTAGTGTACAGAACTGCTATTGATTTTTTATGTTGATTTTATATCTTGAAACTTTACTGAAGTCATTTGTCAGTTCCAGGGTCCCTTAGGCAGCATCTTTAGGGTCTTCTGGATAATAGAATTATATTGTCAGCAAAGAGAGATGGTATAACTTGGATGTCTTTTATTTCATTACCTTGCCAGGGTTTTTCTAGTTAGGATTTCTGAATAACTCTTGGAATAAGTTTTTAAAGATTTAGTAGAGTTTTATTTTAAAAGAATTTTACTTTACTATTTTCTAACCTCTTTAGGTTAAAATTGAACATATTTACAGATGAAAGTACTCTAAGTTTTTAGCATTGATAAAATATTACATCTTCATTTGCTAGTAGAATCTCAAGATTCTCTTCTGAATAAATGTATTCACCATTGTCTAAATACTTCTTAATGCTTATGTTCCATAATTTCCCTGATGAGAATTGATATAGTTTGGCTATGTCCCTGCCGAAATCTCATCTTGAATTCCCACATGTGTGGGAGACACTCAATGGGAATTGATTAAATCATGGGGGCAGATCTTTCCCATGCTGTTCTCATGATAGCGAATACGTCTCATGAGCTCTGATGTTTTTTAAAAAGGGGAGTTTTGCTGCACAAGCTTCTCTCTCTTTGCCTGCTGCCATCCACATAAGATGTGACTTGCTCCTTCTTGCCTTCTGCCATGATTGTGAGGCCAATTGTAAGTCCTCACAATTGAACTGTAAGTCCAACTGAAACCCTTTTTTTTTCTTTTGGAAATTGCCCAGTTTTGGATATGTCTTTATCAGCCATATGAAAATGGGCTAATACAAAAATTATATGATAAACTTCTAGTGAGCAGCTTCTTTTGACTGTGTACATCCTGCTCAAGTCACAGGGGGAAATAACAGTTGATTCCTTTCTAACATTTGAGCTGCTGAACCTACATAAAAGGTGTGGGAATTGGAGAAACAGTTACAGGCCACACTAAGATCTCTGAAATCCAGGCATTTCACTATAGCAGAAATGTTTGCTATGAGTCTAAACGGTAAGGATATAAAACTAAAAGTTCTACCTGATGGAGTATAGAATCCTTGGTTGTTGATTTCTTTGAATAATTCAGCTCTTTTTAAACCAAAGGGTGAAAGAATACTTAGTAAAACCATATCAAGGGAGAGGACAACTGTTTCGAGTGTTTCTAAAAAAAACCAATTACTGTTATCCCTGCAATTAGTTTATCAATCATGCATATAAAAAAAAAAACAAAACAATAAGAGCCTCAATCAGAGGCTAACTTTGCACTCGAACAGGGCACTGCTAAAAACCAGAAAACTACACTTCGATTGTCATGCAAATTTAAAATTTCATTATAACCAAGAGAAAACATAGTTTCTGATTGCTGTTAGAGCTGCTGTCAGTGAATTTGATCTATGAAATCAATAATAAAGATCTTTTATTTAGTTTTTAGCTTTTTATGAATAAGAAGCTTAAATCACAACCATGAATACTGAACCAACACATAATACATTTCCCTATATTTTTCCAAGTATTTAAAATTTTTAAGGCTTTGATTATTTCATTTGAAACCTGGAAGTACCTATTGAATAATCAAAATTTTAGAATTTGACATTTCTTTCACTGTCACCTGGCTTTTATACTTTTTGTTAAGAAATCACCTATCAGCCCTGTTGCTATTTATTTGAAAGTAATCCATTCCTTCTCTTTGTTAGATCATTGTTTGTTTGTTTTTCTACTTCATATTTCTTTTTCTATTTCTTTATTTTATAGTTTTTATCAGATAAGCCAATATTTGAAGGCTTTCTTTTTCCAATTTTTTATTCCAGCAGATTCTTCCTTATACTGCCTTGTGATCTTTGTTGGTCCCCCCCACATCTACTGAGAGATTTTATTTCCTGGAGATTCACACATGAAAACTATTATGGGCTTGTGATTAAGTGGGGTTCATTCTTAGAAGATTTCCATTTGCTTTGGGCCAACTCACTGAAACACTCTATTAGTCTGCTCTTGCACTGCTGTAAAGAAATTCCTGGGTAATTATAAAGAAGGGAGGTTAAATGGGTTCATGGTTCTGCAAGCTGTACAAGAAGCATGATGCTGGCAACTGCTTGGCTTCTGGGGAGGCTTCAGGAAACTTCGAGTAATGGTGGAAGGCAAAGGGGAAGCAGGCTCCTCTTCTTACATGGATGGAGCAGGAGCAACCAAGAAAGTAGGGAGGCGCTGCACACTTTTAAGCAACCAGATCTCATGAGAACTCACTCAATATCACCAGAACAGCACCAAGAGGATGGTGCTAAACTATTCATGAGAAACCACCCTCATGATCCAATCACCTTCCACCAGACCAAACCTCCAACGATGAGAATTAAAATTTGACAGGAAATTTGGGTGGGACATGGATCCAAATCATGTCAGACACTATATCCCTAGAACCAGTTTAAATATTTGGATCTTCCATGTAGTATGGATTCAGGCTGCAAGCCTCCACAAAAGTTCACTTTCTTTCCTATCATATGAAAGTTTGAGAAAGCACTTACCATCTTTCAGTTCTCTTCTGTACAGTGGGTCTATTTCTTGCTCAGCCTTGATGAACAAAAGATGCAGTTCTTGTTTGCTTATATGTTTTGAATTACTGTGTTTAGTTATTTATGTTTTTAATGAATATTCTTAGAGTTCCACAAATTCTAGTTGTCCTTGGGCTTTGCCTTCTGATCTCTGTCCCATAACCCACGGAATCCAAAGTTTGTGCAATCCCAGGTTAATAAATGACCATAAGACAAAAACTTACTTTCACTGCTCCATTTAGCTTTCTGACTTTCGTTTTGTTTTTAGTTTTGGGCCATTGGGGATTTCCACTCTTTTATCAGCTCATTAATGTACTCAAAATTTTTTTTAAAATATTTTGTCCAAATTTTTAGTTTTTTTCTTTATATCTTTCAGGGAAGGAGTTAGTGAAATGTGTACTGTACTGAGCTGCTAGAAATAGGCACATGATTTAAAATTCTTGGTCTCTTTAACTGGAAACATTTTAAAGATAGTAAATTCAGACAGTTTCTTACATGGCATGTCATGCTTTTACCTGTCTATTTTACCTTCTAAAATTTTAAATTCCAATATTCCATTAACTTACTGCAAAGTTTCTGTACTTCCATTTCTCTTCCAGTAATCCTCCATTTCAATAATATTCCACTTGGATATTCTATACTTATTTAAATCCCAACAGCATACCCTAAACTGATATTTTAAAATTATCCAGTAAAATTATGAAAAGTATAAGCATTAGTATGAATAAATCAAAATGCTAAATATTTGGGGTTTTAGATCAAGTTACACTCTGATGTCCTTGCATTTTTTATGTGAAATCAATCATCCAATGTGACTCAAGCCTATGTACCACAGAGATAGTATCTAGGGCAATTTATTCCTCATTGTCTGGACTCTTAAAAATACATTTAAATGAGTTCAGATAAGAAACATTGCCACTAATTGATAAAGGCTGCATGCTATCCAGGCATGGCCTTTAAACAGACTTCTCAGCAAAGAGATGGATAATGATCAGCCTTTTCATGATATCACTACCAGTAGTTCACTCCAATCATGTCTAGATTTATTATTTCTTCTTGTTGCTATTTAATTGTACAATTTCATGAAAACAAGTTCCATAGCATCCCATAAAGGTCTTTTAAACTGACACTTGACTTTTATATTAGACTTACTTTAAAAACAAATATCTGTACTTAACTTTTGTTTACAAGGTGAAATGCACAATAGCTTTGCAAATGTAATCACAAAATTAATGTTCTTCTGAACACACAATAAAGCTAATATTTTTGTACAAATTCTTACACAAGAATAGAAACAGAAAGATAAAGAGAGAGGAAACATTTATAATGTGTAAACCAAGAAAAAATATTAATAGAAATAAAAAGATGCTCCAAAGAGTTAAGAAGAATATTTCAGGAAATCCCATTGAAAAATGAATAACAAAAATTTTAAACAACATCCTGTTACATGTCGCACCTGTCAAATGCTACCAAGTACACTAGGAATTGACAGCATCTGGGCACTTTTGTCAAGAAACCGATATAGCAACTTTGAAAAACAATCTGTGTTCCCGGGAAAATCAAGTATTTGTGATTTATATATTTCCAGCAAAGAGTCACAACAGCAATGTGTTGCACAGAACACAACTGAGAAGCCCCACCCTACATAACCTGGAAAGGGAAGTGTAGGAACACATGACAGAGGCCAAGTGCTTTTTCCAGGGCTTCTCTCTGATGTGAAGCACTTTAAAATGTTCACTTGAAAATCATATTCAGTGGAAAGTTTTTATAAATTCATGGCAATCTACACACCCAAACTGGGAGCTTCACCTTCCTTAATGACTAGATGTAAAATAAACTCCATTTTCTGTTACCATATAGTTCTTCAGTTATTTGTTTGATGGCTTTAAGAAAATAACAAGGGAGCCATGCACATCAATTTTCTTTTTTGTATTGTAAATCCTTGGGGCAAGTGGATGGGCAATTCTCAGAACTATCTGTAGGTAGCTCTTTTGATTTTGCCACTTGATTGTGAGATTCAACTGTTTGTTTTGTTAAACTCATACAGAAAGGGCTAAAAGAGTAAGGATAGTATTTGCTTAAAATCCTATCTAATATTTATCAGTTAGGTGATCTTGGCAAGTTATTTTGAGTCCAGTTTCCTCTACTGTCAAATTATGATAACTCCTTCTTTGAGGTATTGTTTTAAGAATCAGACAACATATGGTATGGAAGGCAACATGCCTATGCATGGTAAAAATATTTAACATCTTAATTTGCCACTGTCATATGGAATCTAAGATGATTTTCAAAATAGAACTGAATGATTTAAAAATCACTTTTTCCTTTGTATTAATAGAAAAAAGCTTTCATGTTTGCTAAAAAATATTAAAATATTGAAAAGGAACTCTTGAAAGAACAATTCAGACTTCAGGAAGGAGTAGTTCTTATAATATCAAAAAGTTGTTTTTTATCTATTTCCCACTCACTCTGAGTAAAGTAATGACTCTGTTATCAGAGAGAATAAAAAATGAGGTGAGCAGGAAATAGGATACAATGAGTAAAAGTTTTGGGACCATCTTGTTAATAAACTTCATTGGAATACAGATGGTAATAAGCAAACAGAAAATGAAATGTGAGTCACAGTTGCAAATAATAACCATTTACATATTTTTGCAGAGTTTTAAATAATATTCTAGTATCACAGAATAGCATTAAGACCAAGACTTTGAAACACACCAGAAAAAAAGCACTAGATAAACCATAGATTAGTTAAAAAATCATAATTCAGAAAACAGAGTATTAATATTTAAAGTATAAGTTTTAAGAAATCAAAACCTCAAAATAGAAAGAAGTAAACTAACCAAAAGTTGGAGAACTGCCAATTAAATTAGCAAGATATACTTTCTACCAATCAGACTATTTCAAAAAACTTTTAAATATTTCTATTTCTAAGGCCTTGAGAAATTGCCACATTGTCTTGCTGACAGAGATCAGGTAAGGTCATTATAATACATTGCTGTTACAGGATATATAGAAGCTTTGGGTGCAGAAATATATAATCTATTAAGTTAAAAATCATGAGTCTTTTGATCTGAAAACCCCACTTGTAAAAATACTTCCCATAGGAGTCAAAGTACAGGATACAACATTGCTCACAGTGATAAAACACATTAAAAGGGTATGACTGAACAAATTATGGGTACAAGCATGTCATAAAACATCATGCATACGTTATACTATGTACTCATTAATAACAATAAGTCATTTCACTTGGATAGCTTTCCACAAATAGTTGTGGAATGTGAAAAGATGTGAATGGGTGTGTAAAACCTCATTCTGTTTTAGAAAAAATAACATGGAGAAAGTATTGACTGATATATACTGGGCTGTCACATGAGTTACCAATGGAGGGGAGTATGAAGAAGGTGACCCGGGAAAGAAGGGGAAGCAAGCCAAGCAAAAATGGAGACAAGAAACAGACGCCTACACTAATTTCTACAAATGTTTGTAAGCACTTTTATCTAAAGTCAGATGCATGTGTATGTAACAAAAATTTAAAAATTAATCCGAAACAGCGCTGTAACCCCAAAGTATCTCCGGTTCCTGAATTTGGAAGTCATATGTGGTTTAGTTGGTAAATAGAAACTCCTACATTTTCAGTTCCAATTTAAAACATGGATAAATCCTTGGTGAGAAGTAGTGATAGGAGATAAATAAGTGTGCTCCTCAATTCTAAATTCAAGGGATATATTTGCCAACTTCTTTCTCCATTAGAATCAGTTTGTTAATTTACACTTCAAACATACCATGAAGAATCTGACTGACCCTGACAAATCTAGGAGGTTGGGAGGAATGGAGTGCATTCTGTTGTTAATGGACTGAAGGAAGAACGTTTGTAAGCAAGGGTCCATGTTTCCTTTGTCTCTTAAAATTAGTACTAGTTTTCAATGAAACATGAACAAAACAGAAGCAAATAATTAAGATTCAAGAAAAAAATCTGGGGGAAAAAAGAAAAGAAGAAAAGTCCTGGAGGTAATACCCTAGAAATGTTCAATATGTGAGAGGCTGTATTTTAAGGCAAAAATGTTATCTATTTTCAGGGAGATAAAGCACCACAACCATGAGAATTAATTCAGAAAATGAACAAGTAAGATTTATGGAAAGCAGATGTAAAAGAGTCAATTCTTTCGAAGTGAAAGTAAATGATGAAAGGTGAAGCTAGTAACAAGGAAAAAAATAACAATGAAGAGAATAAGACAAAAATGACAGGTGTGGACTAAAAAAAGACAGAAAACATTCAAATAATAGAAATCACTAAGGAACAAAACCGAGTAGGAAAAAGTTTTATAGTAAAAGACATGAGGCAAACTAAAAAACCAGTAGCATTGGATATTCAAAGTGCTTTTGATATTTGAGCAAACTTAATCATAAGAATTCAGCACTTCATAGTTTGGTGCAATTCTTAAACTTTAAAGGTAAAAATGTCTTCAAGCTTTTAGATAAAGAAAACTTACTTTCAGGGTATTAAAATCAGGACTCCCAGGCCGGGTGTGGTAGCTCAGGCCTGTAATCCCAGCACTTTGGGACTGAGGCAGATGGATCACAAGGTCAAGAGATCAAGACCATCCTGGCCAACATGGTGAAAACCCCATCTCTACTAAAAATACAAAAAAATTAGCCAGGCATGGTGGTGCATGCCTGTATTCCCAGCTACTCAAGAGGCTGAGGCAGGAGAATTGCTTGAACCTGGGAAGCAGAGGTTGCAGTGAGCCAAGAGTACACCACTGCACTCCAGGCTGGTGACAAGACAAATCAGGACTACTTTGAACCTCCTCACAAGTAGAGTATCAATCAATGGCCTGCTATCTGAAAGGAAAATGATCTTAACCAAGACACTCAGGAAATGTGTCATTTGTGTGTGAAAACAATAGGAAGACATTCTTCAAACTATAGACTCCCACTTTGCCACCCAAAAATTCTTTCTGCAAAATACACAGCAGGATATAATCCAGAACTCCAAAACATTGAATTATATGTAAGCTCTCCAATTAGATTATGAACTGGAAAAAGCAAATGAACAAAAACATTTGATGGCCATTAAAGCCATATTTCCGTTACAGAACAA